TTATACTGTCTTTATAAACATAAAACCATGTCTGCATTTGTAATCAGGGAAATTACAAACAACAAGCCCTACTCTACACTGCCCAAAAAAACTCACTTTAAATATATAAAATACAAAAACTCTTTAAATATAAAAGACGTACTTACAGTCTGTGAGTCAGAACAGCCGGCATTGTAGTCTACTCTTCCAGTAAACAGTCCTCCATAAAATGTGCTGCACACATCTGAATATTTGGGTTAAACTGTTCTGGAACAGTGTTGTAAATACAACTTAACCACTGATTTCTAGTTGTGTCCATTTTTGGAAGGCCAAACAAAGTAGTTTCGCTTTCACAACGAAACAGCGTCACACACGGCGGCCTACAGTGAACAGAGGCCGGGGGCTAGCATGAGGAACGGCGGGAGGATTAGAGTGAGCAGAGGCGGGTGGGCTTGAGAACGGCGCGGCCGGCGATTTCGACGAAGGAGCGTCCGGAAGGACATGTGACGACTCCGGGCTGGACTCCGCTTCGTCCACGGTTAAAAGCCGATCCGGCGATCGACAGCGCAAAGTTGTTGTATTTCCTCAGTGACCAGCACAGATCAGCTCCAGGCATGACGGAGCAGATATTGTACAAGTTATATAAAGTTATTTTGAGGGCTATTTGTCATCTTTGGAGCATTTTACCCATTCAGTTTTATTGTAGACAAAAGCAGCATGAAAATGTTGAGTGTGAGCAGTGTATCTCTTTTTGTGTTCCACAGAAAAATGAAAGTAATTTTTATGTCTGTCTGAACTATTCCTGTGTATTATGCCAGTATTTTCAGAGATACTAGTTTGATCATAGTATGGCATTTTGAAAAGTTACTATTTACTATTTACATCATTTATTTTAGACTTTATGAATTTCTGACTTAAAACTACAGAGAGAATAAAAAAGTGAAATCCTTGAAATGAATGACAGCAGAAATTAGAGTTTTTTTAGCATATAAGCAGCTGGAACTGTCAATTATCTCCAGAAAAGTTTGCATGTCCTAGATTTTATTATATTAAAGTGCCCTATGCCTTTTCGAATATTACCTTTCATGCAGTGTGTCATGTAGCTGTATGTGAACATAAACTATCTGCAAAGTTGTGAAGAAAAAAAACAAAGAGTAGGCTCGCAATCGCCTAAATGAGTCGTCAGGAATTCGAATCTTATTCTGTTACGGCTCTACATCACAAAGTAACACATTTGCATAATGTCTGCCCACGTTCTGCGTCACCAACCCGCCCACAAACACACTAAAATTTCCATGTGGTTAACATAATGTCGAGAAGACGCTGTATCCCACGCTGTGAGAGTACATTTGTTTTGTCACATCTTATAATTACCACAAACTTGTTAACACTTGACACTTACCACTGAGAAACGTCCTGCTCCAGTCGTGCTTGCGAATCAGCCTCTTGTCGATCAGCCACTTCGACCGTTTCATCATCAGACTCCGGCTCGAATTGGTAAGGTACAATCGTTAGGGTTAGACCAATCGTTAGACCAATCCAGAGCCAATCTCTGTACGGCTCTGGAGCAATCACAAAGGACTGCGCCATCTGACCAATCACAGCAGTGAGGGCTCACGGAAAGGAGGGGTTTAGAGAGACTGATTCTTTGAACTGCTTTGCACGAGTCGTTTACGAATAATTTAGAAATGAGGTAAAATTTAATCTATTTTTTGAGAAAACTAGTGTTTTTTGACCATGTAAACCTGTTTTAGGAGACT